AGGACAAGAACTCCTCCCAGTGGCATGCTTTCCAAAACATTAAATGGAGTGGCTGCTGGATGGCCACCCTGAATGAGGGTAATAGCAGCTACCACTATGCTAACAGAAAGCTGCAAAACTAACGTTAGGACAGAAACTAGAAGTTCTCACTCCCCATCACTTCAGAGCAATTCTTAAGACCCAATGTTACTTGTGGTTAACAGGGGAATGACTTGTCAAGTACCAGGGCATGTTCTTAGACATCCTGAGGTTATTATAAAAACATCCACTACTCCTAATTCTGCCTTTTTAATGTTTACAGGCCCAGAAATTAGACACTCTTGTGAACAAATGGTCTCTCTGACCTAAGCAACCAGGCAGGACATCAGTAGCCTGCCCCTCTAAGAACCTGAGGAACTGTGGTTCACTGATGGAAGTAGCTTTGTCCAAGAAGGACACAAAAAGGCAGGATATGCAATGATTAGTTTGCAACATGTCATCTAGACCAAACTCTTTCCTCTAGAGATTTCTACTCAAAAAGCAGAGCTCAGAGCTTTTACATGTGCATTGATTTTAGGAAAGGGCCAAAAGTCAAATAGCTTACAGATTTCAAATATGCCTTTCTAGTGCTACATGTCTATGCAACAATCTGGAAAAAAGGGGGCTTGATAAATAATAAGTGATCATCTATAACGTAAAAGGAGCAATTGTTAGAGGCAGTCCATCTTCCCAAGCAGGTTGTAGAGACATGCCTGAAGTCTCCTTGGGAAATCAAAAAGGTGATACTCAGGCAAGAAAAGCAGTCCTACAGCCTTCAAGACCTTACCCTTATTCCCAGTTCCTAAGGAACCATTCTGCATCCTTAAGGGATGCAGTGACAAGCTATAAAAGTCCTACATGAAAAATTGTCACCAGACTTTTCACAAGACTGAGAAGAAAGTTATTTTTGAGAACCTCTGGAAAATATGAGGCTCTTCTTCAGAAAGCAAGACTCCAGAATTGCTCCGTGTACAGATAATTTGAGTCATGAATGACCCTAATTCACCACAGCTTAAATGGACACCTGTATTGAAGCTCCTATTTGTAATCAGATACATTGTGTGGGTAATCTTGCTAAGGCTATGGCTGTCAAGCTCTTGGTAATTTATCTTACCTCCCTGTTTGGATACTTTGTCCTCCACAAGAAGAGTGGAAATCTGGCCTGCTCCTCAAATTTGTGTTCTATTATCCCAATATAATAGCAAAGTTCACTAATTCTTTTCAAATTTTCTTCTAACAAGTGTTCTCTTCAACCCACCTAGTGATCCACGACATCCCAAAGTAATAGAGAGCACATAATCCCCAGTAGGTAGGGTCTAAAGCCCCTTTCACCTGGAAGAAGCCATAGAAGACAGAAACCTCCAGTCCCTAGGCACCCCATAAAGAGTTATGGGGATATGTGTCTCTCAAGGGGAAATAAGACAAGAAGCTAGGATATGGGTAAAACTGGCTAGGGAAGGAGGCCTGAGAAGATCTCTTAACATGAGAGCAGAACAATTCCCAAAGCCCTGCACATGGACTTCTAGTGAGAACCCAAGCAGTACAGTTTTGCTAGTATGGCTGAGACCTGATGTCACCCTTAGGAGTGGATGATTCAAAAAAAGTCAGTCCACATTGAGTTTTTGCCGCTGTGCTCTCTCTTCCACAGTTCCTTCCCCCCACACACAAACACACTGTAGGGCATAGTTATTTTCCTACTTTTACTTGGCCCAAACTCATTCTGCAGAGCCAGTTTCTTTTACTAGTTTAATAAAACTTTGCTGCCCTTTGTGTTTGTCTTGACCCATTCTTTGCTCAGGACAGAAAGAACCTAGAAATCACATCCAGAAGGAGACTTCAGCGTCCTCAAACCTAATTACATAATTCCAAGATTGGCTCCTTTCTCTTGTAAATAAAGTGTTGAGACAGATGTCCTACTAAAAACTCCCTTGGTCCAGCATGAGATTTAAAGTGAACTTGAATAGTACTTCAATAGCTGAAAAATAATACCGATTAGATACAGTAGAAGAAATAAACATGGGTAAAAAGGAGATAAGGAAAATTGTAAATTTAAAAATGAAAACGTCAGCATCAGAACAGCTTAACTTTTTTTCTTTCTCTTTTCCCAGAACACAACAAGCCTGGGAATTCCCTTTCTTTTGCAAAGGTGTTCTACCATTTCCTATTGCACCCACAAAAGGTCCTCTTTCACCTGTGAATAGACCACCTTTTAACCTGTAAATTAGGGTTTCCTCTATAAATAGATCACTGTTTACTGTGAGCGAGCCATCCTCCTCCACCAGCCCAACCAGGATGGAGAATACAGATTGACAAATTCCACAGGTTTGGGCCATGAAAACCACAAAAGGATCCCCATGTCCACGCTGTAGGGCACCTCTCTTAGGGCCTGCACTCCACACTTGAATGTGTACTAAAGGTTCTGCCTAATGAACCCTTTCTGTACCTCTCAGACTATTGTTGAAAATTTTTTTACTACAAGGGGGTCAGTGAACCTGTAGACATTCTTTGTGTAGCGTGGATTAGGTTCATCATCTCAGCTTCTGGAATCTCCTCACACCCAGTGACAGCAAGAATCTGAACATGGAGTAGCATCAAATTAAAATACTTCCCACAGTGAATGGACCAACAGTGTGAAGAGACAGTATACGAAATGGGAAGAAATCTTTGTCGGCTCCTTTTCCAACAGAAGATATTTAGACTATATAATGATCTGAAAAATTTAACTCCAAAATAACAAATAATCACATTAAAACTGGACAAATGAACCAAATAGGCTTTTCTGAAAACAGGAAATACAAATGGCCCATATTCAACATAGTTAGCCTTCAGGAAAATGCAAATCAAAATGCACTGAGATTCCATCTCAGCCTAGTTAGAACGGCTGTCTTGGAAGATGCAAGGAAACAAATGGTGGCAGTATGGTGGGATAAGGAACCCTTGTATGCAAGTTAGTACCACTGTCACCAGACAAGGTCCAAGGAAGTCCCTGAAGCTGATATAAGAAGCCTAACTCTCTCCTTTCTTGCAGAATAAGTGTGTAGGTTTGCTGTCTCCCATCATGGAAAAAGAATTTTCAGGACTAGTTAACAAGAGGCACAGAAAGGTTCTGTCAGGCCTGGCCTAAACCAACCAGACAAAGCAAACAGGCTGCTTTTAGTAAACAACAGCAGCTTCTCAGTAAATAGGACAAATGGACTCAAAGTGAAGTACACAACAAATATACAACCCCTGGTGCCTAGGAGTCCCAGCGATTGTGTACACACCTGAGCAGACCTTGGGCACCCAAGTCATAAACATTTCGCTCAGATTCCTTAGCCCTTCAATATCTACATAAGCCTAATTCCTTTCCCAGTTACTGCTAATATCTCTCTTCTAGTGGTAGCCCATCCACTCATGCATGAAATCTTTCCCAGATAGCTGCTAGAATCTCTTGATTTTAGATGCTGATTGTAGTCCCTGTTCACTGGAATAAACTTTCATTTCAAAAGCCTATTTTTTGACAAGTAGATTCATGTGTGCCATCTATAACAGGTTTCACTAGGCAGAAATTTAAAGGTACATATTCAAAGAAATAGATTATAGTCCTTAAGAGAGTCCATTAATTCCTGGACCAGGACATATTTATGCTTCTCTTGTGAGGGTGGAACCCCAGGCAAAGTGGTCCATCTCCCAGAGGGTTAGTAAACCATTTTATAGCTATGGGCCCCATTTGTTTGTTTAAGTATTTAATTTAAATATTCTTTTCACTCTCTAAACCTGATCCTTTATCTAACATCAGGCTCCTGCTCTTTACTTTTCTAATTGAGCCAATTTATGGACTTTCACTTTTACTGAAGAATTTGAGGTGTGAAGGGTCTGGGTGAAAAGGAGCCTAAATTTAGCCAAGGGAATGCTGATACGAATCACCTTGGGTAACTTCGGCTGGGGCCCAGAGGTTGTAGTCTTCTTAAAAGTACAACTTTTAGTCATGATTTCCTGGTTTCCTTTTCACCAATCATTTTTTCTTCTACCCCACTTCATAATCACCATGTAAATCAGCTTGGAAATTTTTCTAAAAGCTAAAAAGAGAAATTATATGATCCAGCCATTACTGGGTTCTGGGGATTTTGGGTCTCCTTCTAGAAGTGGCTTCTAAATTCTCTGTGTCTTGAACAAAGAATCGGACAGCATGAGTGAAAGAGGCAGTGAGGGTTTACATTTAGTAAAGACAGGAAAGAAACATGCTCTGCAAAATGAGTTCGTGCCAAGTCAGTGTTGGGTTCAGAGGTGCACACGACTTCTCCGCAGCCAGCTGGGATGTGAACTTACCAGAAGCAACAAATTGAAGGAGAGCAGCTTAAAATGGAAAGCACTTCATTTGGAAATGAAGAGAAGAAGAGTAGGCACCTACCCCAAAGAGTCGGGTGGGGGGGCACCGGAAAGGTTTATACCCATGGCCTTTGTCCTCAGCATCCTTTCTTATGTTTGGAAATTTCCACTCCCCAGGTCCATGCTTGGAGCTTGTCAGTTTGATTTGCTCTCTGGACTGTTGTAGATGGATCCAGGGCCCAAGACCCTGCACAGGCACTACTGTCTGGTGCACATTCTTTGGGTGTGCATCGTTTTCTCCACCCATTTGTCCTGGTCTGGGCCTTATCTGTGAGGTTTATATGCTGATTAGGAGAGGCCTTACAGACAAGGCAACTTAACTTTAGTGATTAAGAGCATGTGTGTTATCTAGTGTGGCAATCTTTGTATACACATATCTGTAGGGAGAGGACTGTGATACTGATTATGCCCAAGGCAGACTGTGAAGAGTTAACCCCCAACCGGCTTGTTTATAGAAGTGAGTCTGACCAAAGCCTACGTGCTGAGGTCGGAGTACCTGGCACCCAAATTCTGTTCCCACAACTAAACCTTCAGACTAGAAGGACAATGTTCTAATTACAACCCTATATTTTGTCTATTCTGTTCCTAACTTGAGAATGCTTTGTCTTGTCCTTTCTGAGCCTTGTTTACATTAATTTCCATAGAAACCACAGGTCACCTTTACCCCAATGGATCACCAATAAAGGTCAGTGCCTGGGACTGGCCAGCGCCTTTGTGGGCTGCACTGGCACTGGTCGTCCTGGCTCCCACTTTCTCTTTCTTAGTTCTGTCCCTTAGTGCATTCTCTTTCTCAGGCCTGCGTCGCACACTAGGCAGGTGGGGACTGGAACCTGACTGCAGGGGTCTCTGCCACTTGGCGCCCATCGTGGGGGCTTGAACGACAAGCAATCACCTGCTCCGTGAGGCTACTCAGAATAAAAAGGACAAAAGCAAAAGAAAGAAAAGAATTGACAATGCAGTGGACCTCGCATCAAGGTCAAGGACAAGCACAAAATCCCAGAAAAAAAGAGGTATGTGCTTCAGATGGAAGCAGGTAGGAAAGGGAGTCAGCTGGGACTAAAGCACAAGGTAATCACTCTCGGCCCATGCTGGCCTGCACTATTGAAATAATTGCTTCAAGAGATACTTAAATAAAATCATTATTCACCAACAGGAACTTTAGACATGGAACTTAGGGAGCGTGTCAAAAATAACATCCAGACAGCTCAACGAAGAAGAAAAGTGACCTCCCCTGAGACTTTCACTGAGACCTTGAGAGCTTGGAGCCTTGTGCGCCGAGCCTGGGAGCCGCTCAAGCTTCTGCTCCATGCCAATCAGTCGCGGGGCAGAACGGTCCGGTTTCCGTCTTAGAACAACTGCTCGCCCAATCGGCTGTCCTTCACAGGCGGACTGGCCTCTCAGAAAATGTGACGCCCACCGTTACAGGCCAACCCCAGTGCTCTCCTTTGGAAGAGGTCGAGCTGCCTCCCCCTCCGCTTGAGCTGCTAAGTTCCCAGGTGCGGAGCAGGTGAGGAAAAGGCAGGAGGAGAACTGCTGGGCCTCAGTGTAGCCGAGGGTGCGCGCGGGTGCCGTGGCCGGACTCAGAGAGGGTCCAGCAGGCCTTGCACTCAGATGGGAAAGAACTGAAATGAGAAAGTAAGTAATGGATTGAGAACAGCTAGGAAAGCTCTGAAAAGCATAAAGCAAAATAGTGAGAAAAACTGCTCCTGGCTTTCAGAGCCAAGGCCAGTGCTGTGGATGCGGCTGCAAAGGTCTGGAATCCAAGACAAACCCTGAGAAACCGCGACTGTGCCCTACCGGATATCAAGAGATTACAAGGAAATCAAGTTCAAATTGTAGCTAACTGATAAATGCATCTTTGTTTCAATGTGAGGCCATGTTTAATTGGTGTGCTTAAAACATTTCTTGTGCATTGCAAATCCTTAAATTGTGCTTAGAGGGTTAACTTGCTCTTTTCTGTACTTTGTTGATGAAGAACTCAAGGTCACTACTGTTCTATTGGCAGCCAGTCGAATTTTAAAATGTAACAATCTAAGAACAGGAAAAAAAAGGGGACACTTTAAAATTTTAACAACTGAAGACAAGTTTATTGTAGAAGGTTTATAGTAAGTGAGATAGAGGAAAAATATGAAGAAAGCTATAAATAAAAGAGATATACTTTTGATATGAAAGGATTTTGTATGTTTATCTGGTTAGAAGGATAAAGAGAGATCTGTAAGACCAGAAGGCCTAGGTACGTCCAGAAGGTGTGTGGAGTGATTTAGCAAGGAAATATGTGTGTTTGCTTGTTAGTTTCAAGTTTGTTATAAAAGGTTTGCATTTACAGGCATAAAGAGACTTACATCAATGAATATTACTTAAATATGTTATTGTAATATGCTTACATTGGTTGTCATCAAAGGGTTAAGTTCTAAATATGTTATTGTGATATGTTCACACTGGTCATCTTCAAAAGATTACATTTTCTATGAGAAAAACAACAAGGTTTCATTGAAAAGATGCTTTTGGTACCAAACTAAATTAAAGGGCATAAGGTTTCATACATATAATTGTGATAATTATTATTGTTAATTTTCTGATATACTAAATGACTTCATGCTTTCTGATTATACAGGTTTTCTAATATATTGTTTATGGCAATAGCTTTCTTTTGATTCAGGTATTTGTCTTTTTCTTGCACTCCAGGTACTTATGATAACAGGAATTCAACTACTAGAACAACCATGATTGATAAAAAAGAAGTCTTCCAACTATATTTTATATTTCAAAGTACTTGATATCCAGGTAAAATTATAATAGCTAAGTTCACTATTCCCATTGCAATGCTAATGTTATTGCTCTTCTCTTCTGGGTGTTCAACAACTAAAGTTTAGAGACCAGAACTAGAAAGGTAGCTGGGCTATGAGGACAGCCAATATTTTGGCCCTGGCCCTTCAAGGTCTACAGGCAACCCAGGACATGAGGGAACCTTTGCTACAAGATCCTACAACTTTGGTAAGTCACCCAACCTCTTGAGCAGGGAGACTGTGGGACACCAAAAAGATAAGAATATACAAATGTAAACTGTGCCAAAGGAGTGTCACTTGAAGGGAAAAATCTCCCACGCTTTCACAGAAAGCAACATGGTCAAGCAAGGCCATGATGCAGCCTGATGGCTGACACTGACAGGAGCTGAGCAGCTCTATACAGGGTTTGAGCCATGCCTGTGGAGACTTAATTGACCTTAATAGACAGCAAGAGGTTAATTTTAATTAACACATATCTCACCTTAACTTGGTCTTGAACACACAGTAGAAAAGTATAACCTAAAGGTATATGAAGTCAAGACCATGGTAATAAAGCAGGATATAAGAAGGGCTCCAATTGCTGACCCCTTCTGGCAGTATCCAGCTACACTGCTGACTCCTCTCTATGAAGGGTCATTAGAAGAAACTTGGTAAAATTTATAAACCTCAACAAGAGTTTTTAAATTTTTAGCTAACATTGTTTTTTTATAATTATTAAATTTTCAATCTTTTTACAGCTAAAATGAAAAGAAAACTCATGACAAAATATCAGACTTATAGATAAGTTCTATTAATAAGAGGGTCTAAGAGTCAGCAGGTTACAATCACTATTTTGGTCCTTTAAAAACAGTTTCTAGCCAGGGATTTAGCTCAGTGGTTCCTCCGCCTCCCTCGAAAGTGCAAGGTCCCGAGTTCGATCCCTGGTACCAAGAAAAAAAAAAAATACGAAGATAAAAACAGTTTCTAAACATGATTCTTTCCCCAACCTGCTTTGTCATTTTAGTAAGTATAGTCTAATTATAATTCTCTAATTTCTTAAAAATTTTGTTTATTCTTGCCTATAGGCTGCCAAACTTCAAGTGATCATATAGATAAAATCAAAAACAAATGTGCTAGATTTTTTAACCAAATCCACCAGATTAACTTTATAAAAAGTTTATAATTGCTAAATTATAACATGATTTTTATTTAAGGCCTATTGAATTAGCTCTCTGAAGAGAGCTCCTAACTGCAGTCTCCTCTACATCAACCCTTCTCAGCTTGAAGCAGTTGGATTGAAACTATGTTCTCTCTCCCTTAACCACAGTTGGAGATGCTCTTTATAAAGGAAGTTATTATAGACATCTAAGTCAGTTAGACACATTATAAGCCCTTGTGACATGGGTCCATTGGACAACTCACTGGGACAAGCCATTGTTGGAGGTACTCACCCTTCCCTGAAGGCACAATTATATAAACAAAAAAGAGCTGGTATGGCTACCTCCACAAGCTCAATTAGATCTTGTTACTTTCATTTTAAAATTTTTAGATCCACTTATGGAAAGTAAATATATACAAAGATAGACCTACAGACATGTCCTAGACACTAGTGTTGTCAAGGATGTCCTAACTAAAAGGTAAATGGCTCAAAACAATTAATAACATAGGGGCCAGGGGATGGTTATTTTTCAACAAAAAATAAAGAGATGCTGTGGCCATCACCCCAGAACATATCACCATGGACCAACAAGATGGATTCACTGCAAACAGCACTATGTGATGCCCCTGCTGAAAGCCATGTGAAGGCTGAATCTGAGCAACTCCCCTCACCTGCAAGAGCCCTTGGACCTGCAAAGGTCATCAGACCTGATTCAGCTGCTGTTTTCAAACAGAGAATGGGGAGATGGAGAGGATCATAATGTCAATTATGCCCAAAGCAGACTGTAAAGAGTTAACCCCCAACTGGCTTGTTTGTAGAAGTGAGTCTGACCAAAGCCTACGTGCTGAGGTCAGGGTAACTTGCACCCAAATTCTGTTTCCACAACTAAACCTTCAGACTAGAAGGACAATGTTCTAATTATAATCCTATATTTTGTCTATTCTGTTCCTAACTTGAGAATGCTTTGTCGTGTCCTTTCTGAGCCTTGTTTACATTAATTTCCATAGAAACCACAGGTCACCTTTACCCCAATGGATCACCAATAAAGGTCAGTGCCTGGGACTGGCCAGCGCCTTTGTGGGCTGCACTGGCACTGGTCGTCCTGGCTCCCAC